TACTAAATTTTAATTGTTATTGTTGTTTTTTTTTAATTTTTGTAAGCTTTGTCCATGAAATTGTATAATTTTAAGTGAGAATAAAGCTATTTCTATTTTTGAACCCTACCCGTTCCATAAGGTTTAATGTGTTTTATATATTGTTGTATATGTGGTTTGTTGTTTATGTTTTGTTAAACAATGGTTTATGGTTTTATTACGTTTATTAATATTTTCTTAAATACATATTTCTGAATTTTTATCTTTCTTCTGTTTACTGCTATGTTTAAGGTGACATACTAATGTTGCCAATTAACAATTAAGCTGGATTTATATACCATAATTTACTATATTTTTTTAACTTATCACTAACTGGATAAGAGAAGAACATACTCAATACCCTGAACAGGTTAATGTGTGGGGAAGAATTTTTTAAACTTTTTATTGTTTGTGTGTTATTTTAGTTTAAATAAAATATTATATAAAGTAATTTACGATTTTATTTACTCCATCTTTATTCTTTTGTGTAAATTAATTTTTATAAATATATTTCTATACACTGAAAATTAAAATTATTCACCGTTTGTTGTTTCCCACTTATTCAAAATATTTCATATGTTTACGATACTAAAAATAAAAGCAATCAAACCAATAGTCATTATTTATTCAAGTGGAAAAACTGTTTCAAATAACTTTCAAATATTGAAAGGTACGCCGCTGGCTTAAAAGGATAAGTCACAGTCTATCACCTCGTCTCTTTCCCCGCGCCTACAAACTTTTCGACTTCAAATTTAGGTGAACAGAGTGCAGATCATGCCTAGTCCATCTTTATTTATACTTCCATGATATATACATATGTATATATATATATATATATATATATATATATATACAGTATAGGTAAAAGTTTATGGTCGGTATGGTAAAATTTAACAGGATATCTAACGCAGATATAAAATCATATTTTCAGCGAATAGACAAAGATAACAATCATATTTACCCTTGGTCTCCCCTCCACAAATATTTTTAACACCTATTGGCCATTAGTGAGACGAATAGTTCCGATCAGAGATATTTTACATATTCTCTGGTTCCGATCCTAATATACCTAAAAAACTAGAGGTGGGTCCTCCCGTTTTTTAAATTTTTATCGGAACCGTTTTTTGTAAACTGTAACTAGTTGATTCAAATTAGCGAGTACACAAACATATTGGTTATTATCGTTTATGTGTATAAGTATTGAAGTGAAAGAACCTAACGAAGGATATATTTATTATAACTTGAAAAATAAATTAAACAATACAAATAGTACTTATATTTACATTAAATCGTACTTACATTTACATTACACGTTATTATTAAATCGCGAATCGTCTAAATTGACATTTAAAAACAAGTTTTTCTACTTTTCTTGTTAACCGTGTTCTTCTTTGATTTAAAATTAAACCAGATTTTAAACATGTGTTCACAAGGAAAAGATTTTGTTACAATTCTACAATATTTTATGCATATAGTGGCTAAGTTTTTTCCACCACGGTAATGGATAGTTCCAATCTCCGTTCGAAATTTATTGTGGGTAATATATTATCAGACAAATACATGTCGACTTCTTGTATATCTCTCGATACAGTTGTATGTTTAGATGAGTCATGTCCAATTAATTCATCAAAAATACACAATGGACTTAAGTCATCTTTATCAGTTCCTTTTTCTTGACTAAACTTATTGATTTACTAAACTTATGCAAAGACTCGTTTCATCCGTTTTCTATAGGTGAAGAACCAGCTTTTAAAAAGTTTGCAGGGTGGATTCCTGGATATAAACCGCCAACAAGAAAAACTGTTAGATTCATTACTTCAGGAATGTTATGTCAAAACTGATTTGATAATAGATAAAATAAAAAGTCCTTTTTTCGACAATTCTGCAAAAAACATTAAAAAAAGTACCTTATCTTCAGAAAGGCTTTTAAAGTATTAATTACAACATAACAAAGTTCCCAAACGGCCAATCCAAGACGTGGAAACTAGGTAGAACTTCACCTATTACAGGTTAAAAAGAATAACTGAGTTAGAAGAGGCAATCCGTTTCACTTCTTCTTCTTTAAGTTCCATCTTCTATCGAAGGTTGGAAATCATCATGGCTATGCCGACTCTGTTGACTGCCGCTCTAAAAAGGTCTGCACTACTGCATTCAAACCATTCCCTTAAGTTCTTAAGCCAGGATATTCTTCGTCTTCCCACATTTCGCTTTTCTCGGATTTTGCCCTGCATAATAAGTTGTAATAATGCGTATTTTTGCCCTCTCATCACATGTCCCAATTACTCAAGTTTTCGTCTTTAAATAGTTAATATTATTTCTGCCTCATTTCCTATCCTTCTAGTTACTTCAATGTTTGACATTTTTTGAATCCATGATATTCGTAGGATTCTTCTGTAATACCAAAATTCAAAGGCGCCCAACTTATTCAGATGAACTTGTTTTAGAGTCCAAGCTTTCAGACCATAAAGAAGAGTAGAGAACACGTACCATCGAAGCATTCTCAGGCGTAGTTCTAACCTTATATCCCGACAACAAAGAAACTTTTTAAGTTTAATAAATGATGTACGTGCTATTTCAATACGCGTCTTAATTTCTTTGGTTTGGTCTACATCTGATGTTATCCATGTTCCTAAGTATTTATAGTTATTAACACTCTTAATTGCAGTATCTTCAATAGTCAATTGGATATTTGTGCAGATTTAGTCATGATCATGCATTTAGTTTTCTTTAAATTTATCTTCAGTCCGTACTCACGACAGCGTTCATTAAGGCGTTGCATTAGGTTCTGTAAATAATTGTTGTTTTCCGTAATTATTACTGTATCGTCTGCAAAACGTAAGTTATTCAAAACTTCTCCATTGATAGATATACCTTCTATTGAGTCTGAGAGCGCTTCTTAAAATACCGATCACTGTAGACATTGAAAAGTAGTGGGGACAGCACGCAACCCTGGCGGACTCCTCTCTGTATTTTGATATTTTCGGTGTACTGGCGTATATTTCCGTTCCACATCGGTATTAAATAATACAGACTTAGACTTAGACCAAATCTAAATAAAAAACACTGGATTATTTGTTCTCAGCTTTCCTAAATTTTACGGCCGTTTAAAGAAATAACAAGTACAATGAGTGACCAAAAATACTTGAAGGGTATTTCAGTGATTGTTATGGTACGCGGCCTGCAAGAATCTTGCAAGAAAATTTTAGCAAACGGTAACCTTACATCCATAGTATCCGACGTAGTACAATAACTAATATCGGGTTTAGCAAAAATATTTAAAGGGATAGAACAGAGTGGCATATTGTCATTATGTACATTTATGAATTTACCATTTAAAGTGCAGGGTTTTTCTGATAAAAATGAAGATAAAAAAATAAAAGAAAAAGTTAAGAAGCTGGTTACTTCTATAATTAACGAACAAGAAGATTGTACTATTGAAAATCAACCAGTACAAGAAAAAGAAACCAATAAAGATGACTTAAATCCATGGTGTATATTTGATCAATTAATTGGAGATGGCTCATCTACACGTACACCTGTATCGAGAGTCCATTACAACGGTGGAAAAACCATCGCCATGTATATCCTAACTTAACCCTATATTCATACAGTATTGTAAATGTGAACACATGTTCAAAATCTGGTTTAATTTAAAATAAAAAAAGAAGACGGTTAATAAGAAGTAGGTATAGTAGAAAAACTTATGTTTTTTAATGTCAATTTAGACTATTCGCGATTTAATAATAACGTGTAATGTAAATGTAAGTACGATTTACTATTTGTATTGTTTAGTTTATTTTTCAAGTTATAATAAATATATCATTAGTTTCTTTCATTTCAATAAATATACACATAAACGATAATAGCCATTATGTTTGTTTATGTAGGTACTCTCTTACTTGAAACTACTTTTAAACAATCATAGTTACTTGTTTATAAAAATTTAAATTTTTAAATTCATTCATTTTTTTTTGGAATCCTTCCAGAATCAAAGATTACACTATTACCGAGGGCCGAAAGTCCCTTAGAATAAACAAAAAGTTTTTTGAATGAGATATTTGAAATTAAAAATCACACTAATTTTTTTTTTCGCCCTTATAACTTATTAAAATAAACATTATAGAAGTTTTCAGGGACTTTTGGCCCTCGGTAATAATGTATTGGTTTATTCTGCGTTTAAATTTTTCAAGAATATTTATTAGTTTTATCAGGATTCGAAAAAAATGAATGCATTTAAAAAATATTAATCCGAAATTTTATGTCTACGCTCTTAACGATAAAATTACCACGACCCACCTCTACTACCCGTTACTCGGTGTTCTGACCAGACGGACGACGTTGCCAAATAAATTATTGTGTATGAATGTTTTTTAATGTGGTATTATTGTATGCAGTTTATTATTTCATATTGGGAATAACGCAGAATGTGACTTTAAAATAAGCTTATTTTGATGTTCAGATTTTTAATTCGGAAATCGTACTTAAAATACGAAACATTAATAAATTTTATTTATATAAAACGATTTCCAAAGTGGAAATCAAAATGTTATATTACACTTATTGTAAAGTAAACTTGTGGCATATTCCCAATAAAAAAAAACAGTAAGCTGTCATTTAAATCAATTTCGCCCAAATTGGATTATCTTAGAACATTGTTCAAATGCAAAAAAAACAACAGGTCAAATAAATCCAATAAGTTTGGCAACGTTGAACTTCCCCTTTCCAGGCATGCATGTTTGGCGATATAAAGGGCGGACCTAATATACCTCTCTCTTTCTAAACAGCTGTTTCTCACTCCATCTCACGTAAGGTCCATACCGACCATAAAATTTTTCCTACACTGTATATATATATATATATATATATATATATATATATATATATATATATATATATATATATATATATAATATATATATAATAATGAATACAAATATTACATAAAACATTAGTCTAAAAAATATATAAAGTCTAATAATTACCAGGCTTAACTTTTCTTTAATAATTTTAATTGCATTTTTTAGCTCCTCTTTTGTCAATGGCATTTCTAGAATTGGTTCTCTAATTTGTCTAGGCCCTAAGTTATCTTTTAAGTCGTTTAAATGAGATATTAAATTATCTGCAAAAAAATATTAAAGATATTTTTATATGGAAAGATTTTAAAATTTCATATCTTTAGCATATTTTGTTATATTAATAATTTGTTTACTTAAAGTAAAACCCCTCAAAATATTTAGTTATTACCTTGTTTACCCAATGGACGTTTAAAAGACGTCATGAATGGTTTACATGGATGACGAATGAATGCATGGAATAAACTGTGTTAAGCTGTAATATGTTAATGAAAAAACTACAACTGGGAGTTGTATACAGAAGTCTTTTGATTATGGAACTGGCAACGAACAACATGTACATGTCATAAATATAAAATAAGAAAGCTGATAAGTTAGTGAAACAGTAACCAATTCCACATTTCTATTGGAGGAACCTTTTTGTGGGGTAACCAAAAGCCACTCAAAATGAGAATTGTAACTGGAAACCCAATATTTTACAATCTCACTGCCTTTATTCGCTAGAATTAACACAAACAAAAATATTTAACATTTTAATTTCCCCAAAAGAGACAAAATCGATGGTTATAAAATCAAATTTACCAAGATGTAAATTGGAGCTGGAAGGTCAGATAATAGAACAAAAGATGGAGTTTAAATATGTAGGCATCAGATTATCCAGCTACAAAAAGCTCGAAATAGAAATAAAAGATCAAGTGAATAGAGCAAACAGAGCCGTAATTTACTTGAATGCAACAATATAAGGAAATAAAAATATCATGAAAGAAACGAAAGGCAGAATTTACATAACGGTTATCAGACCAATAATGACATACGCGGTAGAAACACAACCTGGCACAGAGAAGGTAAAAAGGATGTTATAAACAGCAGAGATGAAAACACGTAGAAAAATTTGAGGTAAAACATATATACGCCGTAGATGCAAGGTGGAGAACAGCAAGAACTCTGTAAAAAATAGAAAAGTAGAATGAAACGATCATAAAAGCCCAATAACAACAGATAGAGTAGTGAAAACGGCAACAAACAGTTCCCCAATAGAAAGAAAATCATTAGAAAGACCACGAAAACGTTGGAAACAACTTGCTGGAGGCACATTAAAAAACAGACAGAGTAATGTCTATATAAAAAGAAGAAGAGAAGAAGATATTTGTAAAATGATATCCAGTGACTTTAAAATAAGATATGTAGGTATTAAATAGGCATTAGCTCCTCTCAATAGACATAGCTCTCCAAGCTTTTAGTTCAGTAATATAGACAGTCAAGCAGTTAGAATTGTTGTCTATGTGTAACATAATATATCACGTTACTGTCTTTAAAGAGCTTATATTTATAAAAGCGATTTCTTTTGCATTTTCGATAACGTGGCCCTTAGAAATCTGGTTTCAACTTAACCAAAAGTATTATATTCAAGAGTAAGAATATAATTATTCAAAAAATGGCACAAGCTGCAGAGGAAAAAAGGAAAATGGATCATCACAAATAAAATTTCAAAGAATTTTGCTACCCACAGCCAAACCTATTGCACCTTTTAAAGGTGAATCATATTAAGAAATTAAATTAAAAGAATAAAATTTCACAAATGATAATTTGATGAGAAAATCTTACTGAAATCTAAGTTTGGGTAAAATACAAATTTTCTTTGACCTATATCGGTAAAAATTAATACAGGATTAGGTCTACTTACCTTTAATACTCGTCAACGTATTTTTATTATTAATTGCTATTTTTATTAAATTCTGTAAACCCAAGATGGTTTTATCACAAATATATTTTTTATTGATATAAGTTGGGACTTTTATATCATTAAGTGCTTTTTTGATTTTTCGACTTTTCGTATTTATATCGTCTGCTTTTTTCTTCATGTCATCTAAAAATAAAGAACGACTTACTTTATTACTTTTTAAATAAGTTTTTACCTACTTTACGATTTAATTGAAATATGTATATCTTTTGTATCTAAAGTTGTGTCAGATTTCTTGTTTTTACCAAAATTAAATTGATTTAAAACTTGAACTTGAAGAAAGCGTAAGAAGAAGTAACTTAGTATTATTAAAAAGCAGAAAATAGATCTAGTAAAAAAACTTCAGAAGGGAACCACAAAAGCTAATATTGTAAAATAGGAATAGAATGCAAAATAGTAATAGAATACAAAACTGAATTCAATAATAAGCTGTATACACCACAAGATTTATAAATCGTAGATGTGACTCATAATTTTATTTATTATATAATCTCGATATATCTTTACTCCACGTGAATATTTAACAAAGATATATTATGTGAGACAATAAATCGGATTTGAAAGAAAAAATCACTCTGGGAAATTTGCGAACAATAATCGCAGTCCGTTAACTGTTCTATATTCGGAAATACTATAAAAAGACTTTAAAAAGACAATTTTAAAAAAGACTTTAAATACAATAAATTTGCGCGTATGATCGGTCAACGATACTCTTAAAACGGCTTACCATTAAACAATCCATTAAACATTTAACTTACCATTAAAGTTGCTTTAAAAGGGTTCTCCAAGAACGGTTGAAAGAACTACTCATCACCAACGGAGACGACCTACAAATATTTGAATTCCAATTGAACAGACAAAGCATTCATTAAAAAATCTTCTACAAAACTGTAAAATAAGTATCTAAGAAGACCGATAAAAAATTCAAAAATGTTTCCTGTATAATCGATAAAGTTTTTAATAAAAAAAACAATAAGAGATTTAACGAAGCCTCAGAAATGAAAATGAAATTCCCAGACACAAATGAAAAATGAGCTTTTTCGACACAATGTCAAATATCATTAAAGAAACTTCCAAAATGAATGAAAAAAAGTTATAAAAGTACAGATAGATATAAGCATTACAAGGTAAATCAAACAATTAAAAGAACCCCCTCTGTGGCTCAGTGGTAAGAGCGCCTACCTTTGAACCTAAAGGTCGTGAGTTCGAATCCCACCTGGGTGGAAATTTTCGTTTATTAAAAATTAATAAACGAAAATAATTTCTATCCTTGTGCGATCGGTAAGTATCTAAGTATCAAGACAATTACTCTACACACATACACACACACTGTATGTAAAAATTCACTGTACCATGCCAATGACCATTAGTTGTCGACGCATTCTCAATAAAAAAAAAAAAAAATTAAAAATCATGATGACAGGGTCCAAATGACAGATTTATCACCAAGTGAGGCAGAAATAGACACAATAACCACAATTCCAAATGGGACGAAGAAATTAATAAAAGAAGAAACCATATGTCACATGAGTTTAAAATTGCTGTAGGTATAGCAATAATATACAATAATAATAGAGTAACCAAAAGTGACTCTCAAAAGGAGAATTGTACCTGAAAACAAAATGTATTGATGGGGTCAGTCGTAAAAGGGTTTAGTTTTGTCTCAGAACTATCAAAGTGCAGTTTTGATAGTTCTGAGATAATCAGCGTCAAAGTTGTTTGAGTTTTATAAATTCTAGGAATGATTAAACTAAAATATGTCTATTACACAATCTTTTATAAAATGATAGAAATATAAGGGTATATTATTACTTTTACTACATCCTTTTTTTTTCAATTATTGAAAAAATGTACTTAAATCGGAACATTGTGTTTATAAATGTTACTGGTAAAACTGTTCAAGTGCAGATGTTAGGTAATAGTAATCATTTTTTAGGTATTCAACTAAACTTTATTTTGTAAACTCTTAAGTACAATATCATTTGTAATCCGACTCTAAGAAAATATCTTCTTCGCCATCATTCCCGTCGGCGTCGTCTCTGCTGGAAGCTGATTTTGTTAATTCCAATTTTGCGTCTGCCGTTGATGTTCCAGTATGTTTCAAATTTCGGCAAAAGAAGTGGTGACATAAGGGAATGTAGTCCAAGAGGCTTAGCAGCTTTTTTTATATTTGGCATCCTTAATTGGTAGCGCCGTGTTATTAATAGGGTTCAATTTGGAGGGCTGAAAAGATGGACGTCCACTTTGTGCTTTTCCCATAGTACACATCGAAACTTCAATATCCTGGTTTAAAGTATGCATATACCTGAAAGCCAATTTTTCTGTCTTAAAATATGCCAACCAGGAAATACTGCGCCATTGTATTCTCTGACCAATGGAATCCTGTTTAGGATATTTCATTATTTTATGTAGGATCGAAAACGAGTAAAAAATCTTCTGTCGTCATGTTGTAAACCACAAACTTTGAGGATGTATTTTTTATAAAACATTCCCAATCTTCTGGAACAACAACTTTACGAATTTGTCGTTTTTTTCTTTTCAATTAAACCAAAATTGCGGTCACACTCCATATAGCTTTGACAAGGTTAGAGTAACTTGTGATGGATCTCGATGATATCAATAGCTTGAACGATGAAGGAGAACAGTTTGCAGATATTTTTGTTTTTATTCTGCCCTCCACAAGAGTCACTATATGCAACTATCTTTGTTACTTTGGGGGGTACCTGATAAATTTTATTAGACATGAGCCTATTTCCTGAAAACCTCTTGCTGCAACTGTTTTATTCCATAAAAACATGTCACTTTGTTCAGTAAGTAAGTTGCATATACAAAAATTGTACATCCATAGTTGACGAAAGTTAAATACTTTGGACGTAGTTACTAGTGGTGTTGGCAATATTTGTTGAGAATCGAAACAAATAACGACAGTATTCTCAATATTTTTGTGTTTTTCAATATCTAATTTTTTAGAATCGTTTGCTTTCTTAGCTTTTCTCTGATGTGTTTCTAAATCCCGTTTAGCGTTTGAAATGGTGTACTCATTTTAAGAATATTTTATCAAGTTTTGAAAATTGTCACAGCGACTACATGTATCACTATAAGGCTTGTGAAATTTCAAATTGAACTCTGTGTTGAAGATAAATCGATGATATGATTATTTCACAGGTTCTTCATGTTGTTCATTAGAAAATTCCTTATAGATTACACATCTTACTAATATTCAAATCGCCAGGGAGGTGTTTAGTATTGAGATTGTCTTTTCTCTGATAATGCCTTTGATACCTTGGAAATATCTTAATGTGGGAAATCACGATATTTTTGGATGATCATTTAATTTTGTTTGCGAGTTTCTTCTTCCCTCGTTTATCAGGTTCACTTATTTCGAAGTCTGATATTTTTGAACATACAACCTGAAATATGTGCACATAAATGTCAAAAGTACGTAAGATAAACGTTTTCAGACACGTTTTTCAATCAGGGTTATTATTGTGTTGTAGTTTTTCTTTTTAGAAGCTTCTTAGTTGGATCGTACAGGGCCAACCTTTGTTATACAGGTGGAGAGAAACGCTGTTTGCAGATCGTATGAAGGTAAAATGTTTGGAATAGTTTGCGTTTTTCCATTTCATTAATGTTCTTGTTGCAATTGAATCGATATACATGGTTACAGACTTTCAGTTCTCTGGCTTTCTGTAGTTTATTTTTTCGTCCGACATAGGCTATCCCTTCAGTTCGCATTTTTTTTGTTATGTTGTCTTTCCAAATTTTGAGGTCTCGCTTACGTTTTCTTGTCGTTTGAGGAGTAATATGTAAATCGTCATTGTTTTTAGAGAAAAGTTCGTCAATTCCTGTGTCATCCGCTTGTTCTGCTTTATCCGGTATATAAACTGAAACCTCGTCGGTTTGGAAAGGATCGGATTCTTCTGCAACAAATACGAAATATTTAATTTTATAGAAAACTGTAGTGCTGATGCATAAGAATGGCGGATCTAGACCTTAGGATGCGAGAGAGATTTGCCTTAGAGGGGAGAACTTTCAATGAAACACCAACCCAATGACAAAAAAATATACCCAAATTACATAAAAGATATCAATAATACCTTATATGCATAAAGTTCTCTTAATTTTCCTTACTAAGGTGTTTATTGGGTTGAATTTGTCTGTCTGTGGTTTAAGTTCCATGTCAGTTAATATATTTTTGTTTCAACAATTATTTCTTTAATTTTGGCTCTTGTTAGGGGCGAAAATTTTCCAATTTTCCCTCCCCGTAGATCCACCACTGGTGCGTGGACATTTTATTATTTACATTTTTGTTTTCAGCTAACAACAAAATATAACCTATATTACATTCGAAAACTAAATTTCATCATGTTAAGTAATTTGATTTAATTTACTTACCATCAGTCACCCGGCTGTTATCGAAATTATAACTACAATATAATACAAATACAAATATTTGTAGATTTAACTTTTAGTTCTTTTTCGCTACATAGGGCTTTCTTTTAACAAAAATGACACCAAACTGGATTTACGGCCAATATATATTTCACAATAACTCGTCATTTTGATGGATTTAAGGCTTTTTAACGACATTTATAGGTGTATTTTTATACGTCGATTCATAAATGCCCTTAAAAGACATTTACACAAATTTTGGAGTTATGGCCTTTTAGCTTATGAGGGCAAAATATTCCTAGATCTTGAAAATTAAGAAACATCAAAAGTAAACGATATGCTCTTAGAATTCCAAGACTATTTTGCCATGAATGAAAAGGACAAAGGTAAAACAAGCATAGTGAGCCATAAAATATATGCACATGATCAGCTAATTAAGCAACCACCAAGAATGCGTCAATTTGCGACATGCGACTAACTGAAAAAAATATTGGAGGCATCGGCACACAAGGCATTATTGAACCATCCAATAATCTGTGAACCTCACCTGTAATCCTAGTCAAGAAGAGAGTTGAGTATTCCGAAAAACTACGCTTTTTTAAATTAACTACCGTCAGCACAATGCGGTAACTAAATAAAGATAAATGACATTTCCTGATCCCACTTCCTAATGTCACTTCTAAATTATGGTACTTTGGCATTAAGAAAATTAGAAAAGTTTCGAGAATGGTTCTATTGGATAAACTGTAAAAAAATTTTAAAGGTCTGTCCCCTAGATGTCAAAGACGGTCAGTGGAAAGGTCCGTATAAAATTTAAAAAGAGTGAATGATGTAATATACCGAATTATCAAACTATTCATAAATCGTCTTGGTCTATATAGCAGATTAAGTTATACAAAAAAACAAATGACCCTTTAACATCAAAACATGGAACGTTGCCGATTGAGTTTGAACGAATTTACGACTATACCAAATTATGCAAATAGACGAAAGACCATAATGAGGTCTGTAATCTGCAAAAGATGGGCAATGGGTTGGAAAACCTAAATCGAAAGATTGTAAGAACTATTTTCAAGATCATTTTTCTAGATACGGGCATAAAGATTACAGTTTGTTGCTTTAATCCGAAGGGATCGTGCTCTTTAATCAAGTAGTCAAGAATAGTAGTCAATTCTTTTTCTCCGAAGACTATAGAGTATATTAAAGTTTCGTTATAAGATTTATGCTTAACTTATTACATTGATATGCCTCCATTTCGCGTAAATAAACGAAAACGTTAATGTTGGGGGGTAAATCGAATTGGGAGAAACGACTAATTTCTGGACTTTCTGGATTGTTTACCAGAACGCCTCAAATTATTACCTAATGATTGTAGATACACCCATTCGATTGTATTGAAGTTTCAGTTATAAAAGAAAAGTTTGTAGAATATCATTAAGTTTGTAAACGGATAAATCAATGTTGATAATTCGAACCGTTATTTTAATTTTCCTTACATTATATAAAAATTGATTGATTAAAAATACGTTCAGATTGATTAAAAATAGAAATAGTTAAGAATTCCTATTACCATTTGTTTAAAACTTAAGTCCTGTACTTCTAAACAAGTGAGTAGGTTAATTACTATTTATAACTGGGAATAAGCCACAATTAAAGATAAAAATACGTTTATTGACGTTTCAATTTCCAATTCGGAAATCGTTTTCAAAATACAAACAGTATATTAAACAAATTTTGTTTTTTGTTACATAGTGAAAAATTCTTCTAATAATTTAATTTTATCTGACTCATTTATATTGACAATTCAGACATACATTATGCATTTTAAAGTAGACGACTTTAAAATGATATTGCCAATATTGTTGAGTTGCGCTCCTGGGACGACTTTACTTATAAGATAGTTCATTCGATTACCTGAAATCAACTTTAACTTGAGAATATCCGTCAGAAAAAATCACAGCATGTAATTCGTCTTTAAAAAGACAAACACATGACATGATGACAGTAAAATTCTCCTGTTAGTGATTCCATAATAAATTATGAGGGAAAAACCAGGAAAAAAACCTCATAATACTATCCCGACATTGTAAGTATTTGTTCGTGAATTTAGTTTACCTTCAACAAACATCAAAAATTCTGATTTTATATGTTACGTTATTTAAAAAACATAAATGATGTATCCTTTATATGTTACTGACTTACTAATACTGGTATTTTCTTATTAATAACTTCCTCTTTCAAAATAGATCTCAACGTGTTTGTTGTTTTGAATGTTGTTGAAATGTTGAATTTATTTCCTATCCTTTTTTTGTTTTTCTGATAATCCTTTTTTGTCCAAAACCAAACCTAACAATGAACAAGAAAGGACAAAGAATTGCATTTATAAAATACCTTGTGAATGCGATCAGTTTTATTTAGGTGAATCATCAAGGCCATTAAATGTTAGAATAAGTGAACATCAATCTTATATTAAAAATAGAGAATTTGATAGATCTCAAATATGTAAACACGCATGGGATAATGAACATAGGGTTCAATGGAATAATTCAAATATATTCCTAAAAGAAACGGATGGTAAAAAAAGAAAAATCAAAGAAGCGGCTCTAATTATGCTAAATGAGGCCAATTGTGTCGCAAATTCCTCGGCAGAATGTAGTAGGATCTGGTTACCAATATTGAAAGAGGAAGTTATTAATAAGAAAATACCAGTATTAGTAAGTCAGTAACATATAAAGGATACATCATTTATGTTTTTTAAATAACGTAACATATAAAATCAGAATTTTGATGTTTGTTGAAGGTAAACTAAATTCACGAACAAATACTTACAATGTCGGGATAGTATTATGAGGTTTTTTTCCTGGTTTTTCCCTCATAATTTACTATGGAATCACTAACAGGAGAATTTTACTGTCATCATGTCATGTGTTTGTCTTTTTAAAGACGAATTACATGCTATGATTTTTTCTGACGGATATTCTCAAGTTAAAGTTGATTTCATGTAATCGAATGAACTATCTTATAAGTAAAGTCGTCCCAGGAGCGCAACTCAACAATATTGGCAATATCATTTTAAAGTCGTCTACTTTAAAATGCATAATGTATGTCTGAATAGTCAATATAAATGAGTCAGATAAAATTAAATTATTAGAAGAATTTTTTCACTATGTAACAAAAAACAAAATTTGTTTAATTTACTGTTTGTATTTTGAGAACGATTTCCGAAGTGGAAATTGAAACGTCAATAAACGTATTTTTATCTTTAATTGTGGCTTATTCCCAGTTATAAATAGTAATTAATATACAATGCCACAAGAAAATAGCTTCAGAACAATAAGTGAGTAGGTGATAAATGCATTTAGAGGAAGAGAATTATTTATCTCAGTTTTGCATAAAAAATATGATAGGTAATGGCAGAGGTACACAAAAGGTATAGAGAATTTAAAATTTTTGATAAGTGTGTGTTTTAATATCTTATAGAATATTCAGTGAAACCAGTAATAGTTGCTTTGTATTAGTTTTAGTTTTAATGGAGATGATTATATATTTATCACTATGTATTTATGATTAAATAATATTTTTATTAGTGCAGATTCAACGTACCTGAAATTTGATCTAGATACAGTTTCAGATTTTCATAGTCTTTCCTAAAAATTAAATTATTTTATTCGAAATTTAATTAAATTAAAAACAAATCTCAAAAAACAAAACTCAAAAGAAAAAATTAAATTGGGAAATATACAGGACAAAGAATGGAAGGACTATTACAAGAAACTGTTAACAGAACAAAGACCACAATTCACTGGAAAAGAAAATAGGCGAAGGCGAAGTAGATCCCCACAACAAGAAATAGAAATAACAGATAGGGAAATGAAAACGGCCAAAAAGCAATTAAAAATAAGAAAGCACCGGGACCTGGAGGCATATCACCTGAGCTTATAAAATATTAATCAAAAAATTACACCGGATAATACAATAGATATTTCAGAAAGCCATAAATGGAGAACAGCTCCCAAAGGAATGGACGGATGCATATATGATATCTATATTTAAGAAAGGAGATAGAAAGCGATGCGAAAACTAAAGAGGAATAAGCGTAATATCATCAATAGGAAGATTGTATGGGAAGATACTGCGAGAAAAAAAGGGCAAGCGATAAAAGGCAAAATCGGGGAGGATCAGGCAGGCTTCACGGCAAGAAGATCATGCATAGACCACATATACACACTGGAACAACTGTTCCAAAGGCAAAAAATAGAGATATACATTTGGAATTTGTGGACCTAAGAAAGGCGTATGACTCTGTACCAAGGTCAGAACTATGGGAGGCAATGTACAAATTAGAAATACAGACGGAACTCATAGAAGCTACGAAAGCTCTGTATAAAGAATATAAAGTATCGTATATATAAATATGTAGGAACAAGAATCGTTGGAGACTTCATCACAACAAAAGGGCTCCTGCAGGGTTATTCCACATCTCCAACTCTATTAACAGCAATCCGACAAACTCAGTATGGTGGGATAGACATCTCCATATGTAGACGAAAACACAGATTTACAAGACATTAGTGCCAAGTATTATGACATATGGGGCTGAAAATTGAATTACAAACAAGAAAAACAGCTGTAAGCTAGTAGCAAAAGAATAAAGTGGTATGGACATGTAAGAAGAACTAGCGACAGTACGAAACCTAAACGATGGAGAATGTGACAACAGAGAGAGATGGAAAAGGATGAGCGAGGGAAGGCAGTGAATACTGTAGAATCCCTGCTCCCTGCATATATATATATATATATATATATATATATATATATATATATATATATATATATATATATATATATATATATATATATATATACATATATATTATATATATATATATATATATATATTATATATATATATATATATATATATATTTATATATATACATATATATATATATATATATATATATATATATATATATATATATAATATATATATATATTTATATATATATATATATATATATATATATATATATATATATATAAACAAATCATAAAAAATCATGCCAAACATATTCCAGTTATATTATTTATATCATAATAATAAACGAAAATTAAAATGACTCTTCATAAAACCATAGCATTAGGACAAAATACTGTAATTTATATAAGTACTCCTATATACTATATACTAGTAAATAAAATTGAATAGTTACAAAATAATAAGCCTCAATGTCATAAATACCAACTTAAAAATTTTTATCTTTGACAATTATATTATCAAAAATAAAAAATTTTTAAAATGTCTTTTTTGTTTTAGTAACAAAAAAGAAGAAGATTTATTCACCATTGATAGATGCCTGAAAATTGTAACAAATACATAGAAAATTATAACAAAATGTGATATTTTACTGATTTCATATATAAACTACATAGAAATACTATAATTATAAATTTTGCTTGGATTTTGAATTTCTGACCTTTTGTTTAAATTATTATTACTTTTGCTAATACAAACCATTTCCAAAAAAGTTCTTTTAAATTTATTACTTTTACTTTATTTATTTCACAAATTTGTTACGATTATTTCAAAATTTATTCAGATAAGACTAAATATAATTAATAAAAGGTTTAAGTTCTGTAACTCTGAAGATGGTTAACAATTTTTGTTCAAAACTTTTTTCAATAAACGTGAAAATTTTCTCTTTTCTCAGCCCCTCTTAGATTTTGAAAAGTATTATCTCCAAACAGATACAAAGTTGACTATGGGAATTAAGTAAACATTTAAAATAACACAAATCAATGATCAGTTTTGTTTGAATAAAGAACTTGAGTAGAAACTTAAAATAAAAGTAAACTAATACAAAATACATTCTATTGAATAAAATACACTGAAATCAAAAAATAACTTCGAATGTGCTATAAGCACAGAATTAAGAATAAACCGTGAACTAGCGGCAGTCATTAATGTATCTCGTGATCGTCAGCCCAGTGTAAAATTGCTTCACAAATTAACTCAATCGGTAAATGTTTTGTATAAAAACTTTAATTTGGAGCCATGTTTTATTGCCAAAAATATTTGTATTGCTGGATTTAAGGTTTTCACACTCGCCTTTTTTCGGTGGTGTCGTTTCTTATGTGATGTGTAAATAATTCTTTTGTAATTTCTTTTTGGTCTAAAGTCCATGGCACAAGAGTATGACTTTTTTTGTTGATATTAGGGACATTTTCAGGTACGACACTAGGTTCAACTTAAAGTAACTCACTTTCATTTATTTCTGCATCACTTGTTTTGTCATCATCTATTAACTCATTCTCCATGTTTAGGTAAATTTCATCTAATGTCTTGCCTTTATGTCCCTCTGCTTCTCCTTTTTCCATCAGCATTAGAGCTTAAAAAATATTTGCTGTTTGATATACGTTATCAGGCAATCTATACATCTGTTTATGTACGTCATTAATGTGACATATAAAAGTTACTATAGATAAATTCACATTCAGATGGCAGCGTTACAGAGATAGGCCTGTACTTTCTATATGCCAGAAATAACTACATTGTTGTCAGTTTTTAATCGTACCTACAATCGTACGTTATGGGCCGGCTCCTATAAAAGAATTATAATTTCTGAAATATTTATGAATGTGAAACGGAAAAATACTACATTTTTTTAATTATATAATTTTTCTGTTGGTATTTTAAAAATAGAAAGTTATATTTCGGAAATCTGGTCTTTTCGGAATTATATCTTCTGTTCAAAATTGTTTACAATTCGTGGAAATGAAATAATTATTTGTATAATCCGTTTTTGATCTTAATGTCCTTTTAATGACACACTTTCTCTACCTGCATTTACAGTTACAGACATTAAAAAATAATTTAGAATTAAAAAAATATACCTATTTATAAATTCAAAATTATTGTCTAATGCCAGCAATTATAAATTCAGGTAAATACTTGAGAGTCATTAAAAAAATTTTCAGTTGATATCAGACGTTTGTGTCGTGTCAGTGTCAAAATGGCCGCGAGTGTAATAAAATTCAAAAACGGTAATTTGTTAAATAGTGAATGCAAAAAAATAGTGTTAAATGTTTTTAACTATTTATCAAACAGTAATAATGATAAAAGTGTATCACAATAGTGCGGGAAGTTTCTGCTATGACTGGAGTCTCTGAGCGAACGATATTCCGATATATAAGTGAAAGTAAAAATGGTCCACTCGTAACTCCTATAAGAAAAAAAAGAACCGGTTATTTGAATAGTCGTGAGAATAGATATGATGAAGCAACTCGGTCTAGAATAAGACAAGTAGTGCACGGTTTTTTTATGGACAATATTCCTCCAACCCTTGACGTAGTACTAGAAAAAATTAAGCAAATGGAGCATCTTCCGAATTTTTCCAAGAGTACGTTGAGAAGACTGTTGCACGACATGGGTTTTATATATGGCAAACAAGGTAGAAATTCAATATTAATAGAAAAACAAGAAATAGTCGCTTGGAGGCGTCACTATCTCCGGGAAATAAAGAAACTGAGGAACGAAGGAGCCAATATCATTTATATGGACGAATCATGGGTTAATACTGGAATAACCAATGGGCAAGTATGGCAAAATACAACAATAAAAAATAGCCGACAGGCTTTCGTAAATGGACTTACCACAGGTTTAAAAACTCCGACCGGAAAAGGACCAAAATTTGTTTTAGTCCATGCAGGAAACAAAGACGGATTTGTTGAAGGTGCTGACATCACTTTTCTTGCCAAAAAAGGTGCTGAAGATTACCATGAAGAGATGGACGGAGATCTATTTGAAAAATGGTTTGAAGAGATGTTAATACCAAATCTCCCAAAAAATAAAAAGAATGTCATTATCTTGGACAATGCATCTTATCACTCTAGGAAATTAAATTTTTCCAAGCAATATTGGGTGAAACGTCAAATTAAGGAGTGGCTCTATGAAAAGGACATTTATTTTGAAGAAGATTACTTAAAAAATGAACTTCTGGAAACTGCTAATGTATTTAAAAATATTTATGACAAATACAAAATTGATTGTATTGGTGAAAAATACAGGAATCACAGTGACGAACAATGCCGCGTAGATGTACATATCTTAAGACTTCCGCCTTATCACTGTGAACTGAACCCAATAGAAATGGTGTGGAGTGAAGTGAAACGGTACGTGTCCTCTAAGAATTCAAGTTTCAAACAAAACGACGTTAAAACATTGATTTATGAAGGTTATGATAAAGTACAGAACAATGGACATTGGAAAAATTACGTCAACCATGTTATAAAATTGGAGAATAATTTTTGGACAGTAGACAACATTCAAGATGACATTGAACCTATTAGAATTTCATTAAACGATGACTCTGAAGATGAACTAGAATATGAAAATGAAGATGATTGAAAATTGTTTTTCGGGGGTATTCTTTTCTCATTAAAGGTAATAAAATATTTAGTTGATCTGGTTGAAATGTTGCACACTTAATATAACTCATTAATCGACACAATTTCAAGTAGTTATATTAGACGTCATTATGCAAAAAATAAAGTTATGAACATTTAATAAATTAGTGTACAATTGAGGCCCCTAGAACACAAGGGGTGTAAGTGCCAAAAACAAAGTTTTGAAAAATCTTTGTTCAAA